GATTACAGGTGTGTGCCACTGCGCCCAGTTGTGTCTGTACTTGTTGAGAGGAGTTGTATAGTCCTGTCAGTCTGAGGATAGAGCAGTGATAGTATGAAAGTGAAAAAGGTGAAATACAGTGAGAAAGATGGACGCAATACAGGAAACAAAATAAGAAAGAAAATGTAATCAGTCCATGATGTGAATCATCTGTGAATCGCACATAATCATAAGTTTATATACTGCCCATTGGTTTAACTGATCATAATATAATTTCGGTGATATGTTTGTATACATGTGTGGTGTTGGGGAGAATATAACAGATGGCAAAGACCAAAATAACAAATTTATTCATGAAGCAGGAAGGCCTCCATCCTACAAAATAGAATGAAAGCTCACATTGGGCAAGAGCAGCCAGGCATGGGTGGCTCAGTGACTTGGGAGGCTGAGACAGGAGGATCAAAAGTTTGAGGACAGCCTCAGCTATTTAGCAAGACCCTGTCTTAAAAAGGGATGGGGATATAGTTCAGTGGCAAAGCACCCTGGATTCGATGTCCAGTACCAACAGAAAAAAGAGTCTCCGTTGGGCAAAAGCAGAACACTGATTTTATAAGATAGGTACAAGAAAACGATTATAGGGGGGAAAAAAAGCTGATTGATTAACATCAGGTTACTTCTTTGTGAGGGTTAAAGCACAAGGGACTTCCTTTTTACTTTGACTCAGGTGGATTGAAATATGATGTTTCCAGGAAAAACTGGTCAAATTGGGACTTATCTGTTTTAAAATTTGGAAATGAGGTGACTCCATTCTGGCTTGGTCTGATCTGTTGGAGTCTGGTGAAGAAATTCAGTGTAAAATAACGGCCTCCCACAATTTTTGTTTAACAGAGGACTAAGTCTTCATCTTCCATGGAAAAAATTCAACAATATTTGAAACTGGAAACTGGGCTGGGCATGTATATAACCCAGTCATAGGCTACATGCTTGGCTCTGGACCCACTCCCCAGTGCTGTAAAACAAGTGCATAAAATAGCAAAATATTTGTTATTTAGAAATGTGGAGGTAAGGTTGGGCATGGTGGCCCACACTTGTAATTCCAGCCATTTGGGAGGCTGAGATAGAAGGATCACAAGTTCAAGGCCAGCCTCAGCAACTTAGTGAGACCCTGTCTTAAAAAATAAGAAGGGCTGGGGATGTAGCTCAGTAGTAAAATGCCCCTGGGTTCAATCCCCAGTACAAACCAAACCAAACCAAACCAAACAAAACAAAACAAAAAGGAAATGTGGAGGTAAATACCAGAGGAAACAGCTTAATGAGTTAAAAATGGAAGTCTGGTGGAGCAGACAGCAGGCAGGGGAGGTTGCTTCTGGGCTGCTTCATGTAAAACTATGATATGTTTTTGAACTATGTTTATGTTTCTTTTTAGAACTATGTATATTTTACCGACTAAGACATCATTTTAATGCAACTTAGAACATATGAAAGCAGAACATATGACATCAGAGTTGGCATGGTGGCTCACACCTGTAATCCCAGCCACCTGAGAGGCTGAGCAGGAGGATCCAAAATTCAAGGTCAGTCTGGGCAACTTAGCGAGACCCTATTATTGCAAAATAAAGATTTAAAAAGGGATAGGGATGTAATCGATGGTAGAGCATCACTGGCTTCAATCCCCAGTATCATAAAAAAATAGAGCAGTTATTACAGTAATGACAAAAGAATGTAGGAGGGACCCTATCAGGATGGTAGGAAGGGGAAATAGTTCAAGAATTTAAGCAGGTACATTTGACATTCCCTGGTTGACCTGTGGCTGCAGAACTCAAGAGAGAGATGGAAGTAATCAGTAGAAATAAGTCTGAGTCTCAGCCTCCACCTCTTTCTTGAGGTCTGCAGCCACAATTCAACCAGGGGCAATCAGTAGAAATAAAACCCACCAAGCTTCCATGGGTTTTCTCCCCCACTATTTGAATGAACTAATAGGGCAGAGACTCAAATGGGTTCTGCTCAGCAAGTCTCACCCTCTACTACCACTTTCCTCAGAGCTTCCAGATGTGTTCTAGATGGCTGTCCAGCGCCTGGAGCTCATCCTTGACTTCCACGTATGTAGAACCCTGCCTCTCCAGCACTGGAGTGGACTGCGGTCCATAGCAGTTCCAAGTGCTAAAATGACTTTGATGCCTAGATGCCCAGTTCTTGTGTGTCATAGATTTGTTTTTTGTTCTTGCTGTGAGACAAGTACTCTACTACTGATTACACCTCTAGCCTAGATGTGTTTTTGAAATATAAAAAAATTTCCATCATTTGTTTCTTAATGTTTGTGGAGTCTTTAGTCTGTCTGCTTGAAGTCTGCTGTTGGGTATCTGTTCCTGCTGAGGTCTGTCCTGTTATCGAGCTCCACTAATCTTGTTCCACTTAAGCCCTTAGTATCACTGCCACCCAACTGCAATTCCATTCTAAGTGGTCACTCCAGTTCAACCAACACAGTGGCCAGGATGACCGATTCCTCTGCCAATCTTATTGGATTCTTTTCTTTCCTTGGTACTGGGGATTTGTGAGAAATGACAGTCCAGTGCTCCATTTTCAGAATACAGCCGTAATTGGACCCAATTGTAGCCATTTTGATTATAGCCCTTCACTTTGATCCCCCCAATTTTAAAATTAGCTAATCAGGTTTATTGTACCCAAGCTCCTCCAAACAGGGCAAAGGGCAGTAATAAAAGTGGTTGGCCTGCCTACCCCTGCCGGCTCGCTAGCCAGGTTTCTGCAGACACCCTTCTAGCAGGAGCAAACACCTTACCCATCCACTTCTGAGCATGTTTGGTTGCTTGCAGTATTTCTAACAGGATTGAACCTAGGGGTGCTTAACCACTGAACCACATCCCCAGCCCTTTTTAAGACAGGGTCTCTTAAGGCTTCAAGTTACTGAGGCTGATGTTGAACTTGTGATCCTCCCGCCTCAACTTTCCCAGTTGTGGCGATTACAGGCCTGCGCCCCCATGCCTTGACCACCTGACCCAGTCTGATGTACAGAAGTTTTCATGGTCTTCAGCCTGCTGTTCTCTTGGCCTAGAATGTTTGGCCCTCATTTCTCTGTCTCGAGAATTTTTTTCTCTTTTCGCAATTCCATGCCATATCCTCTGAGAAGACTTCTCCCACTCATCTTCAAAGAAATGACTACGTGGCTGGGGTTATAACTCAGTGTAGGATCACCTGGGTTTGATTCTCAGCACCACATATAAATAAAAGTCCATTGACCACTGAAAAAAGAAAAAAGACATGGCTCCTGAAGGAAAATGGGCTCCCTTCTCCCTAGGTGATCAGAGGAGTCTTCATTAGTGATCAGGTGGCCTCTGACCAAGAATTTGGTGGGAAAATTTTACTTTTTTTCTTGCAATTCTGGGGATCAAATCGAGGGCTTCAAGCATATCAGGCAAGTGCTCTACCAACTGAGCTACCGCCTACCCCTGCCCCCAGGTTTTCGCTGTTATTGTCCTTTAATTAAACTTACTTATATACGGTGCTGAGAATGGAACCCAGTGCCTCACACATGCTACGCGAGGGCTCTAGTACTGAGCCACATCCCCAGCCCCCAGATTCTCTTGAAATGAGAAGAAAAGGAGACAAGGGTCTGGCAATGGCAGGCCACATTCAGGGACCTAGCAACGTAGCCCTGTTGAACAACAGGCTGAGAAGTGTACCCTGGGGCCACTGAAAAATCTTTGAACTAAGAAAGGCCATTTAATAAGGAGAGGATTTAATCAGCGCGTTTCTGGTTGTTCTGTCCAGATTCTGGACTCTGTGGGTGCCGGCTGCAGCCGCTCAGGCTCCGCGCCCTCCAGCAGTCGGCCGCTTTCTCGCTGCGCACTTATCACAGAACTCTTGATTTTTTGCGTCTGTTATATTTTTAGGGCAGTCTCTCCTCTTGTTTTTTTTTTCCCCCCGAGAGCATACAGCACGGCGCCAGGAACATCGTTGGGTGATGGTGAACACATCTGATGGATGAATGCACGTATTCTGAGATATCCTTTAACTTCTCATTCCGAAGACCCTCCTATGTTACCCTTTCCAACAAGCCTCGCCTAGGAACAAACGGAATACTATCTCAACCACACTCTCGTCCACAAGTTAACTTTGGGGTGAGCAAGGCTGGGGCTCAAGCCGTGCTTGGGCAGCACCTCTACGTGGGGAAGGTCTCAGGAGCGATTCCCGCCAACACCTCCTCGAAGTCCAACCCCACCCAAGCATTCCCGGGCGTGGCCCAGAGCGGCGCCTTTAAGAAGGGGGCGGAGCACAAGTGGAAAGACAAAGCCCCTGGCTGCGAGCTCCCCCCTCCCCCCTCCGGCGCACCACACGGACAGTGGTGCCCGGATGTCGATGTCGCCGTCGGTGACAGATGGCGCAATGTCTGTATGTGTGTAGGAGCTTCACTGGCCTGACCCTCCTTTAATTCGCAGCCTTTCGGTTCCCGCAGTCCCCCACATTTAACTCCGCCGCTGGTGGCCCGTGAGCCTGTCGCCAGCGCTTACATAACGTGACCTTTCACCTCTTCAGACTGCCCTCTAGTGCGCTGCAACCCAACTACGCAGCAGGGGCAGCGGGGCGGGACCCAGACGCAGAGCGGCAGCTGCTCCGAGCCAATAGGTAGTGAGCGCTGACCAGCTGTCCGCCTATTGGAGCATTCGCTATCGGCGCCACAGGGGAGCAAGTTAGTGTGTGCGCTGGCCGGGCGGGGGGAGGAGGGGAATCTCCCGCCATTTTTCAATAATTTCCTCCGGTGCCGCTGAGGAGGAGTCGTGACTGCCGGCAGTGGGGATCCGTGGCGAAGGTTGGCCGGGGTGGGCTGCCGATACGCGCAGCGCTTCGCGTAGGAGCTCTGCGCCCTTGCGTGGCTCCCCATGGCGCTCGCGCGGCCGCGCCGGCAGTGAGGGAGCGGGAGTTCGCGCCGCCCTCTCACCCCTCCCCTCCCCCACCGCCGGGAGCCAGCGCTCGCGCGGGGCCGCGGGGCCTAGTGCTGCGCCGCGGGCCGGGAGGACCGCCGCCGCCGCGATGGCGCCGCTGCTGGGCCGCAAGCCCTTCCCTCTGGCGAAGCCGCTTCCCGGGGAGGAGCCGCTCTTCACCATCGCGCACACGCAGGAGGCCTTCCGCACCCGGGAGTATCCTTTTCCAGCCGGCGCCGCGGACCGGGCGGGCGCGGGGCGGTCGGGGGGCTCGGCGCCGCGCTGGGGGCAGCTGTCAGCGCGCCCGGCCGCCGCGGGCCCGCGCTTCGGCTCGGCCCGCCGCTCCGGGGCCCGCGAGCGGGCCGCTGGCTGCCGCGGCGGGGCCGCTCACTTTGTCCCCGGGCCCGGCGACTGCGAGCGCACCTCCTGTCCGCTCCGCCTGGCCTTAGGCCCGGAGCGCCGGAAAGCGGGACTGGCTTGGCGCTTTTTTTTTTTTTTTTTAATTTAAATGAAGTCGTCAGTTCAAGTTTTAGAAATCTTGCACCCGCGCAGCCTCGTGATCCGGCTGGCGCCGGCCGAGTCCCCAGCCCTGCGGGGGCGCCGGGGCTCGAGCGGACCTGGGGCCGGGCTGAGCTGACAGCACCACGGGCGCAGGACCCGGGTGCATTTCCAGACCTGCCGGGGAGGCGGGAGGAAAGCCGTTCCCGCAGCCCCGGCCCTCCCCTTCCCTCGGAAGACGGAGGTTGGGAATTCTCAAGATTTGAAATTGGTGTTTGCTTTTTTAATAAGATGAAAATGTGGAGACGTACTTAAAGGGTTTGCGTTGTGTTGGGAACACGAGGCTGCTGTTGTAGATGGGAAGCCGAGGCTCTCTGCTCGTTTGTTCGGAGAGCTCTGTCGCGAGCCTGGGCTTTCAGAGTTTTCATTTTACTTTAAAGGCTGTGCGATGCTGGGGATGGAACCCAGGGCCTCGCGCGCTGCCGAGCGCCACACCACTGAGCCAGCATCCCCAGCCCTGGTGGATGGCTTTTATTTTACTTTTTTTTTTTTCTTAATATGGATGCTAGATCTATCATTTTAAAGTTTACATCTTAAAAGAAGATTTCTGAATCAAGCTTTCACGTATCCCTAGTTTTATCAGCCCTCGTCTTTTTTTTTTTTTTTTTGGTACCAGAGATTGAACCCACAGATGTGTTTAACCACTAAGCCAACTCTCCAGCCCTTTTATATTTTTAATTTTGAGACAGGGTCTTGCTACATGGATTAGGGCCTTGTTAAATTGCTGAGAGTGGCTTTGAATTTGCAATCCTTCTGTCTCAGCCTCTTGAACCTTTGGGGTTACAGACCTGCGCCACCAGGCCTACTCTTTGGAAAGACTAGATTTCTTATTTTGTGTGTGGCAGCATTGGAGCAAGTGTCCAGGTGAGCCCCCCCTTTAATTTCTCCTTGATCTTTGCGTTAATGTACTTGGTAGGATAATCTCATTCTTGTTTGTGAGTGCAGTTTGTGAATGTTGGGTGTTTACACACAAAGAGACTTGGAAAGTGAGTCTGGGCAATAAGAATTCTTTTGATGAAATATACGTATAATATTATGGAGCAGAAACTAATTTTGGAGATGGTGGAGCCTTGCCTGGTTTGCCAAGTGGGCCCAAAGAGTTGAGGATGACTTGTTAAAGGTCACACGCTCTGTAAATGATGTCAGGATTATAATCCAGTGTTCTTCCTGCCTAGTCCCTTCTAAGTATTTTGAGAGAAGGAGAAATGCCACTCCTTTTTATATTTTTCCTCTTTCGGTGCTGGGAATTGAACTCACAGCCTCAGCTGTTTTCCCTACCATTGAGCTACATCCCTAGTCCTTTTTTCAATCCCCAGTGCCATCAGAAAAAAAGAGAAGAGGGAGAGAGAGACAGAGAGACATGCTTAGGGAGGAGTTAAATTCCAAGTCGAAGAGGTAGTGAGTTAGGTGAAAAGGGCCATGGATAGCTAAATTAGGACTGGCAACAAAGGCTTTTCATGTCACTCAATGAAATCATTGAAATATATACATGTATATATCTGTATGTGTATATGTAAATGAAAAAAGACTTTTTGATGATAATTAGAAACTGTAATGTTAAATATTATGTATTTTGTAAGCATTCTTCATTTTTTATTTCCCATACAAGCATTTAGAACTCTTTTAACAAAGGAGTTCTTTAAGAGCATTAGATTTAGGGGATAAATTGCTCTCTTGGGAATGTCTACAAGTGGAAACACTTTGAGGATGGGTTTTGAACAATTGTACTGTATGGTTGGCAGGTTGGCATATTTCTTTATTAGGCTATTAGTGGTTTCATAGAGGAGAACAAATACATGGTTGAGTAACAACTGCATTTGAACTGTTGTTATTCTTAATTTATATTTATGGTTATATTTTTAATAGTATTCAATATTTTAATTTTCTCTTAATACTCACTTTTTGCCGGGGGTGGGGGCATCAGGGATTCAACTCAGGGGCACTCGACCACTGAGCCACATCCCCTAGCCCTGTTTTTGTATTTTATTAGAGACCGGGTCTCACTGAGTTGCTCAGCGCCCCGCTAAATTGCTGAGGCTGGCTTTGAACTCTGGATCCTCTTGCCTCCCCCTCCTGAGCTGCTGGGATTATAGGCATGCACCACTGTGCTCAACCTTTAATACTCACCTTTTAATTGCATATGTACTCCAGAAAATTTATATGGTATTTTACTGACTTAAAGCTGTGAGTTAGTATGTTCTTGAAGGTACAGTGTACATCTTCACTAAAAAAAGTTGTAAATAATTTATATATGTAATGACTGGGTGTTATATTGATTATGTTGATTATATTATGGATTTGAATTTATGATTTTACTTCCCAGGGTAGTACCACAGGCAAGACACTACATCTTAGTTGAAGAATGTGAAATTTTTCGGAGCAGTTCTTGATGTGATTATTTGACAGTAGGCTGATGATACATTGACTGTAATGAAGCTAGATTTTAAGCAGGAACTGAAGCTACAAACAGCTTGCTCTAAATTAGTATTTTTGTTCTGTTGATTCAACTATCATGATTACTAAAGTTTAGAAAATTAATTTATGACCTTTGTGGCATTATTCATACAGTTAATTTGCCTCAAGACAAGAATGACTAGAGCATTTTATTTATTTATTTATTTACCAAAGAAGCTTTACCACTGAACTACAAGCCCCAACCCTTTCTGTTTTTTTGAGACAGGGCTAAGTTGCTTAGTGTCTTGCTAAATTGTTGAGGGATTATAGGCAAGCACCATGGCTTCAAGTACTTTATTGAAAGAAACAATTTTTTCCAGGCTAAAGAGAACAAAGCAGCTGTATATTGTGGTGAGGAGGTAGCTGGCTCTTGAAGTCATAAAAAAGTAGATGCATAATGAGATGATCTATGATTTGAAAATATCTTATCATTTATAGCTTACACAACCTTTGGAGAATTGCTTTGACATTTTGTCTGCAATTATATGTGCAGGAGTTGCTGGAACATAAAAACCTCAATTGGCATTTGCTCTGAGTGGTTATTTGAGAATGAGTGACTTATTTTGGTAACCTAAAATCTGAAATAGGATTTAGAGGCAGCTGACTCAGTATCCTTCTAATGGGCTTTTTTTCTTGTCTTTTTTTTTTTTTTTTTGGCTCTACTGGGGATTGAACCCAGGGATGTGCTACCACTGAGCTATATTCCTACCTCTTTTGTTTTTATTTTGAGATAAGGTCTTGCTGAGTTGCCCGGCTGGCCTTCATTTTACATCCTCCTGCCCTAGTCTCCTGAGTAGCTGGGATTATAGGTATTGGTCACTGGCAAAACACCTTTTTTGTGTTCTAAGACCTAGATTGAAGCAGTCCCTGTGTGTGATATGCCTTTCTAGTAGTAAAGAGAAAGATCTGGAGGAAAACATAATGGCTTTTTAAGCCTCTTCCTGTAGGTGGCATATCTCACATCTGTTCACATCTATTGGTCAAAGCAAGTCCCAAGTGGGTGGGGATGTACATTCCTCTTCAAGAGGCATTGCAAGCCACAGGCAGTGGTTGGAGATGTAAAATCTTGTATAGGAAGGGGGTGAGTAGTTGGAATCAGTAATATAATGTATTATATTTGAAGGTTCAGGTGATGTTTCCTGTAGAAAGTTTTTTTTGAAATCTAAAAGACAATTAGAATTTGGTTGGTTGAAGAATAGAGAATTATATATTTGTGGCAGAGAAGGTATGATGAGTTTATGAATGTGTAGTATGAATTTGAGGGTTCTTGGCTTTTTTTTTTTTTTTTTTGGTACCAGGGATCAAACCCAGGGGCACTTAACCACTGAAGCACATCCCTAGCTCTATTTTTTTTTTTTTTTTTTTTAATTTAGAGACAGGGTCTCACTGAGTTGCTTAGGGTATTACTAAGTTGCTGAGGTTTGCTTTGAACTTTCAGTCCACCTGCTTCAGCCTCCCTAGCCACTGGGATTATCTTCACTTTTTTTGAGATGGGGTCTCACTGTATTTCCCAGGCTGGCCTCAAACTTTTGAACCCAAATGTTCTCCCTGCCTCAGCTTTTCAAGTTTAAATTGTTTTTGCCTTGTTTTGTTTGATGATACTGGGTGTTGAACCCAGGGTCTCACCCTAAGTGCTGATTGCTGAGCCACATCCCCAGACCCTAAAGGTTCTTGATTTTAAGAATTTGAAAGAACTTTCATATACCTAGAGTGAAGAAGTTACTTAGTAGTGAGTCATGTGAATAGGGCTGTGTCTTGTAGGCTTTTCTGAGATGGGGTAAGGAATTTGAACTTGGCCTTCATTTTAGTGAAAATTTTGAATAAAAAAGAAGTAGGGAGATCACTGTGGCTGCAGTGTCAAGAAGGGATCTTCAGCTTGGAGACTAGCTGCAAATGACTAGACTAGTGAAATAATCTGGGCAATAGATGATGGTGGTCTGAGAAAAGTTACCAGCCCTTGAGGTGAAGTTCAAGAGATGGATTTGAGATAAATGAACCAGATTTGGCAGAATTGCGATTGATTGGGGATTAGTCAAGGACGGTGTTTTCGTTTGGATTTTAGTGCCATTCCCCAAAATAAAGAATTCTAGAAGAACAAGTTTTTTTTTTTTTTTTTTAACACAACATCTTTATTTTACTTTTTATGTGGTGCTGAGGATCGAACCCAGCGCCCCACGCATGCCAGGCAAGCTCATTACTGCTTG